CCATGTTGGTCAGGCTGGTCTTGAACTCCCGACCTCAGGTGATCCGCCCGCCTTGGCCTCCAAAGTGCTTGGATTACAGGCGTGAGCCACCACGCCCGGCCTAATTTTTGTATTTTTAGTAGAGACGGGGTTTCACCATGTTGACCAGGATGGTCTCAATCTCTTGACCTCGTGATCCACCCGCCTCGGCCTCCCAAAGTGGTGGGATTAGAGGCCCAATTTTGTTTTTTTTAAAGACAAAGTCATACTCTGTCGCCCAGGCTGGAGTGTAGTGGCATTATCTTGGCTCACTGCAACTTCCGCCTCCCAGGTTCAAGCAATTATCTTGCCTTGGCCTCCCAAGTAACTGGGATTATGGGTGCCCACCACCATGCCTGGCTAATTTTGTATTTTTAGTAGAGACAGGGTTTCACCATATTGGCCAGGCTGGTCTCAAACTCCTGACCTCAAGTTATCCACCTGCCTTGGCCTCCCAAAGTGCTGGGATTACAGGCATGAGCCACAGCGCCTGGCTCTGTTTTATTTTTTGTAGAGACTGGGTCTTGCTTTGTTGCCCAGACTGGTCTCAAACTCCTGGCCTCCCAAAGTAGTAAGATTATTGGTGTGATACCACCGAACCCAGCCTCTAGTTCTCAATTTAAAAAAAAAAACAAACCATGTTGACCAGGATGGTCTCGATCTCTTGACCTCATGATCCACCCGCCTCAGCCTCCCAAAGTGCTGGGATTACAAAACTACAAAAAATTAGCTGGGCATGGTGGCGCATGCCTATAATCCCAGCTACTCAGGAGGCTGAGGCAGGAGAATTGCCTGAATCCAGGAGGCAGAGGTTGCGGTGAGCCAAGATCGCGCCACTGCACTCCAGCCTGGGTAACAAGAGCGAAACCCCAACTAAAAAAAAAAAAAAAAAAAAAAAGGAAAAAAAAAACCATTTGGCTGGGCACAGTGGCTCAAACCTGTAATCCCACCACTTTGGGAAGCTGAAATGGGAAGATCACTTGAGCTCAGGAGTTCAAGTCCAGCCTGGACAACATAGCAAGTCTCTCTTTTTAAAAAATACATAAACAGGCCGGGAGCAGTGGCTCATTCCTGTAATCTAGCACTTTGGGAGGCTGAGGTGGGCGGATCACAAGGTCAGAAGTTCAAGACCAGCCTGGCCAACATGGTGAAACCCCCGTCTCCACTAAAAACACAAAAATTAGGCAGGCCAGCCAGGCGCAATAGCTCATGCCTGCAAATCCAGCACTTTGGGAGGCTGAGGTGAGTGGATCATGAGGTCAGGAGTCCGAGACCAGCCTCACAAACATGGTGAAACCCCGTCTACTAAAAATACAAAATTCAGCTGGGTATCGTGGCACACACCTGTAATCCCAGCTACTCAGGAGGCTGAGGCAGGAGAAACTGCTTGAACCCAGGAGGTGGAGGTTTCAGTGAGCCAAGATTGTGCCACTGAACTTCAGCCTGGGTCACAGAGTAAGACTCCGTCTAAAAAAAAAAATCAACATAAATTAATTTAAAAAAATATGGGCTAGGTGTGGTGGCTCATACCTATAATCCTAGCACTTTGGGAGACCGAGGTGGGAGCACTGCCTGAGCTCAGGAGTTCATGACCAGCCTGGGCAACATGGTAAAACCCAGTTTCTACTAAAATAACAAAAAATTGGCCAGGCGCAGTGGCTCACAACTGTAATCCCAGCACTTTGGGAGGCTGAGGTGGGCGGATCACCTGAGGCTAGGAGTTTGAGACCCGCATGATCAACATGGAAAAAGCCCACCTCTACTAAAAATACAAAATCCGCCGGACATGGTGGTGCATGGCAGTAATACCAGCTACTCGGGAGGCTGAGGCAGGAGAATCACTTGAACTTGGGAGGCTGGGATTGTAGTGGGCTGAGATTGCGCCACTGCACTCCAGCCTGGCGCCTGGTGATGGAGTGAGACTCTAAAAAAAAAAAAAGAAAAAAAAATACAAAAAATTAGCCAGGAATGGTGGTGTGCACCTGTAGTACCAGCTACTCCGGAGGCTGAGGCAGGAGAATTGCTTGAACCCGGGAGGCAGAGGTTGCAGTGAGCTGAGATCACGCCACTGCACTCCATCCTAGGTGAGAGAGTGAGACCCTGTGTCTAAAAAAAACCCAAACAAACAAACAAAACGGGCTCATGCCTGCAATCCCAGCACTTTGGTAGGCTGAGGTGGGCGGGTCACTTGAAGTCAGGAACTTGAGACCAGTCTAGCCAACTTGGTGAAACTCAGTCTCTACTAAAAACACAAAAATGGTTGGGCACAGTGGCTCATGCCTGTAATCCCAACACTTTGGGGGACTAAGGCGGACAGATCACAAGGTCAGTAGATTGAGACCATCCTGGCTAACATAGTGAAACCCTGTCTCTACCAAAAATACAAAAAAATTAGCCGGACATGGTGGCATGGTTCTGTAGTCCCAGCTACTGGGGAGGCTGTGGCAGAAGAATCACTTGAACCCAGGAGGCGGAGGTTGCAGTGAGCTGAGATGGCGTCACTAAGCTCCAACCTGGGTGACAGAGTGAGACTCAGTCTTGAAACACACACACACACACACACACACACACACACACACAGATTAGCCAGGCATGGTGGTGCTCACCTGTAATCCCAGCTATCTGTGAGGCTGTCGCAGAAGAATTGCTTGAACCCAGGAGGTGGAGGTTGCAGTGAGCCAAGATCGTGCCACTGTACTCCAGCCTGGGCCACAGAGTGAGACTGTCTCAAAAAGCAAAACGAAACAAAAAACAGCTCAGCACAGTAGCTCATACTTGTAATCTCAGCACTTTGGGAGGCAGAGGTAGGCGGAGCGCTTGAGCCATGAGGGGCAGAGCAGAAATTGCAGTGAGCCGAGACTGTGCCACTGCACTCCAGCAGGGGTGACAGAATGAGACCCTGTCTCAAAAACAAACAACAAAACCCACCATTTATTTTTTATTTTTTTGAGACAGTTTCGCTCTTGTTGCCCAGAATGGAATGCAATGGTGTGTGATCCCAGCTCACTGCAACCTCCACCTCCTAGGTTCAAGCAATTCTCCTGCCTCAGCCTCCTGAGTAGCTGGGATTACAGGTGCATGCCACCATACTTAGCTAATTTTTGTATTTTTAGTAGAGATGGGGTTTTACCATGTTTGTCAGGCTGATCTCAACCTCCTGACCTCACGATCTGCCTGACTCAGCCTCCCAAAGGGCTAGGATTACAGGCATAAGCCACTGCACCTGGTCACCCCCACCACTTAAATCAAACAAACTCAATAACAAAGTTTAAAGACTTTGGAAATAAAAGTGACCTTGTAGTCCAGGCACTGTGGCCCATCCCTGGAATCCCAGCACTTGGGAGGCCAAGAAGGGAGTATCACTTGAGGCTAGTAGTTCAATACCAGCCTGGGCAACATGGTGAAACTCCCATCTCTACTGAAAATACAAAAATTAGCTGGGCATGGTGACGCAGACCAGTAGTCCCAGCTATTTGGGAGGGTGAGTTAGGAGGACCAGTTGAGCCCAAGAGGTCGAGGCTGTAAGTAAGCCATGATTATACCACTGCACTCCAGCCTGGGCAACAAAGGCTCTGTCTCAGAAAAAAAAAATGTTGATCTTTTAACTATGGAGTTCACTTTATTCTTCACATTTCAACTACTGGCGCTTTATAATCTTTTATTTCTTTTTCTCCAAATACCCAGATATCAAGAATAATACTTTGTAATCCTAATATTAATTTTTAAGGAATTACCAATAATTAGTGTACTATTTTGATAGCTATTAAAAGCACTCAATTCCTGACTTAAAATATTTTCCAAACTTTTCATTTTGATAATTAGGTTTTGTCCCCTTTTCAAGTGGTGCTGAGGACTTGTCCTACTTGTACTCCTCAAGACTGCCCATAAATGGTATAGGAGAAATTGCTAAAAAAAGAAGGGGGAAGCAGACACCCTGTAATGTAGATTCTGAAGTGATATCAGTAACCAACTTTCATTTTCCATAAATAACAGGACTAAAGGTAGTGTTTCTTGTTTGATAACATTTTTAAGAGTTTCAGCAGGGTGTAGTGGCTCATGCCTATAATCCCAGTACTTTGGGAGGCTGAGGGGGGTGGATCACCTGAGGTCAGGAGTTTGAGACCAGCCTGACCAACACAGTGAAACCCCATCTCTACTAAAAATACAAAAATTAGCCGGCCGTGGTGGTATACACCTGTAATCCTAGCTACTCAGGAGGCAGAGGCAGGAGAATTGCTTGAATCCGGGAGGTGGTGGCTGCAGTGAGTTGAGATCACACCACTGTACTCCAGCCTGGGGGACAGGGCAAGACTCTGTCTCAGAAAAAAAAAAAAAGTTTCAAAGCACTTTCATAGAAGGGGGCTTGTCAGGGTTGGCTCTGCAGATGTAGAATCATGTGGTAGTAACTCTTATCTATAGGGGATTAATTGCTATGTGTTTATTTAAGGCAGTTTTAACTCCACATTTACTTTCCCCTATTATCTACCCAATTGCCAAGAGGTCTTACTCATCAGATGGTGTGTGATGGATGCCCCAGGGAGTACAAATTAACTTCAATTAGCCAAACCCAACATAAAAATAGTAAATCTGGAGGCGGGGCGCGGTGGCTCACGCTTGTAATCCCAGCACTTTGGGAGGCCGAGGCGGGTGGATCACGAGGTCAAAAGATCGAGACCATCCTGGTCAACACGGTGAAACCCCGTCTCTACTAAAAATACAAAAATTAGCTGGGCATGGTGGCGCACGCCTGTAGTCCCAGCTACTCGGGAGGCTGAGGCAGGAGAATTTCTTGAACCCAGGAGGCGGAGGTTGCGGTGAGCCGAGATCGCGCCATTGCGCTCCAGCCTGGGTAACAAGAGCGAAACTCCGTCTCAAAAAAAAAAAAAAAAAAAAATAGTAAATCTGTTCAAATTACCTACCATATTTTCACTGGGCCAGTTCCCCTTCCTTCACCCCTGACACAAAATATAGCTCATCTTTTCAATAGGAATAGGATAGAAAAATAATAAAATAGACAAGGCTCATGTGTTTCTCCTCTTCTCCCTCACAGCCACCTCCATAGTGAGAGGTTCCTAATGGTTCTGTGTCTAAGTTACACCACTGTGGGTATGAAACACCCTCAGCCATTTTGTCTCTGCTCCAAAACTTCCTGCAATGCCTGCCTGCCTTTTAAGGCAGAATGTATTCTCTCTGGCCTCCTTTCTAGCTTTAGATCCCCCTAGGCTGTTGTGCTCAGCTCAACTGGCCTAATCCCCATTCTCTGATCCTGTCCTGCCTGTTCCAGAAATTCTCTTCTGATTCATTTAGTCTCCACTCCTGTAACATGCATACTCAACTTTATTCTGCCAGCATTTTTTTTTCAATACCACACTCAAATGCTACTCAAGTCAAAGGTTTCCTATGAGAGTGGGGGTTGTGCCTGGCATTCTACAATTCTACAACCTTTTTTTAAAAAATTTTTTTGAGATGGAGTCTTGCTCTGTTGCCCAGGCTGGAGTGCAGTGGAGTGATCTGGGCTTACTGTAACCTCTGCCTACTGGGTTCAAGGGATTCTTCTGTCTCAGCCTCCCCGGTAGCTGGGACTATAGGTGCACACCATCACGCTAATTTTTTTTTTTTTTTTTTTTTTTTTTTTGTATTTTTAGTAGAGACAGGGTTTCACCATATTGGCCATGCTTTTCTTGAACTTCTGACCTCGTGATCCCCCCTCACACACCCCAGCTAATTTTGTATTTTTAGTAGAGACTGGGTTTCCCCATGTTGGTCAGGCTGGTCTCGAACTCCTGACCACATGTGATCCGTCCACCTTGGCCTCCCAAAGTGCTGGGATTACAGGCGTGAGCCACTGCGCCTGGCCAGTTCACACTCTTTATTTGTATTGTTTACTTTTTGAGACAGGGTCTCACTTCGCCAGTGTAGTGGCGCCACCCCGGCTCACTGCAACCTCAACCACAAGGGCTGAAGCGATCCTCCCACCGCACCCTCCGGAGTAGCTGGGACCACAGATGCACGCCACCGCCCGGCTAATTTTTGTATTTTTTGTAGAGACGGTATTTCGCCATGTTGCCGAGGTTGGTTTCGAACTCCTGGGCTCAAGCATTTCTCCCGCCTCAGCCTCCCAAAGTGCTGGGGTTACAGGCTTTAACCACTGCACCCGGCCTGGTTCAACCCCTTTAATGGCACTTGCCACATACTGCTAGGCACTGAGGTTATTTCCGAAACATCTCTTCTCCTCTACTAGATTTTATGAGGACAGGAACTAGGTCTTACTTTTCTCTGAGGGCAAGAACTGTTAAGAGAGTGAATGGAGACTCATCTAGGCCAACTGTCTGACTTCCTCTTTCTTCTGGATTTACTTCTACCTCCAGGAGGAGGGCTGTGTGTTTGTGTGAGTGGGTCCACTGGCAAACAATGTTCAGGACGTTGTATCTTATTCAAGGAACTAAGATGCTTGAGTACCCAATGTGGAGTACCACTCCTTCCCCCGTTGCTATCGCCCCTCTGCGGCTGCTTGGCAAGCAGCTCTGTATGAAGAGCTGACGGAATTCTGTGGTGGGCCAAGTGGCTCTGGCGTCCAGACTGTTTAAGGCGACTGTTAATCACTACAGAACACCGTTGAGTCTTGGTCCCAAGGTGCTGGGCACATGGCACTTTCCGAAATCACTGTAGGGCCGCTGGAACAGGAGTTCCGATCCCGTTTGGGCAGCTGACTCGGCTAAGGCCTCCAGCTGAAAACGGAATGGCAGGGGTGAGAATGAAGAGACTTAACTACGGCGCTTCTCGCACCTGGCGTGCGTTTATTTAGGACCAGGATAACCTCGAAGGCCGGGCTGGGGTGCCGGACCGGTCGTGGGGCTTGCTGTCTTACTCCGTGAGATCCGCGGGCTGGACAGAGCTTCGGAGTGTAACGCCGTCCTCAGCGGAGGAAGGAAAGCCGCACGGCCGCATAGCGGGCGGCCAAGGCGCGGCCAGCAGTGCGGGAGGAAGCAAAGGCTGCTGTTCCCCGCCTACTCCTCTCTCGCCTGCCTTTCCGCGCCACTGTTCACAGCAGAGGAAGAAGGCGCGAGAGGGGAGGGGAAAAAAGACAGCAGCCGCAGGAGCCGAAGGCCGCTGCGCGACATGGGGCAGGGGCGGGCGCGCGTGCGTGCGTGCCTGCGTGCGTGCGTGCGTGGGCGCGGTCTATAGCACGCCAGGCGCGGGGCGGATGTCCGGGCCGGCTGGGCCGGGGGCCGCGGACGAGATGGCGGAAGGTGGAGGCTGCGGTGAGAGACCGGATGCGGAGACTCAAAAGTCCGAGCTTGGAGCGTTAATGAGGACCACTCTCCAACGCGGGGCGCAGTGGTGAGTACCCGGCTCACCTGTGCGGAGCTAGGGGCTGAGTGTCAGGCCCTTAGGCCAGCCCCCCTTTTCTCGGCTAGAGTAGGGGCCGGGCGGGGATGGTATTTAGTGGCCCTGAAAGAGTAGCCTGACACCCGCCCCTCAGGAGAACTCCAGGATCAGCTCTGCGAGAGCGCAGGCGAGAGCTCGGGGTCTTGTCTGCTCTTTTGGAGCCCCAGGGGGCAGGCCTGGCTGGGCCAACGGGAAGGATCTGGAGAAGGGGAGTGTTGGCGGGCCCCTGAGGGTGGGGAGAGCCCTTTTACCGTCGAGGACTCGCCGTGTGACCTTGTGCGAAGGTGTCGCAGACCTGATTCCTCCCTGTTAAAACCAGGATAGCAATATTTGGCTAACTGCCCTCAGTGGGTTGAGGCGAATATCAGAAGTAGATACTTTGTAACTTGTAAACTGCCAACAGATGTCAAGGTCAGAAGCTGAACAAGTGTCTGAGAACCCCAGCTTATTTTGGTAGCAAATGTCAAAAGCATTTGTGGCAGCAGTATCTCGGAGTGGGAGAGGAGGATAGCCTAGGTCCTGGAGCTAGATAGATGAAGAGTCCAGAATTTAGAAAACCAAGGCTGAGTTGTGAGCAGTCTTAATAGATTGTTTGGTAGAGGGGACAATACTTTGTACTACTGGAGAGATTCCTGGGTGATATTGCGTGGGAGTAGAAAACTAGGGCTAGACTTGGCATTGAGTATGATTGAGTGTTACTATCTTTAAGAAACCATCTGCAAGGCCGGGCGCGGTGGCTCACGCTTATAATCCCAGCACTTTGGGAGGCCTAGGTGGGTGGATCACGAGGTCAAGAGATCGAGACCATCCTGGTCAACACGGTGAAACCCCGTCTCTACTAAAAATACAAAAATTAGCTGGGCGTGGTGGCGCATGCCTGTAGTCCCAGCTACTCGGGAGGCTAAGGCAGGAGAATTGCTTGAACCCAGGAGGCAGAGGTTGCGGTGAGCCGAGATCGCGCCATTGCACTCCAGCCTGGGTAACAAGAGCGAAACTCCGTCTCAAAAAAAGGAAAAAAAGGCCCGGCGCGGTGGCTCAAGCCTGTAATCGTTTTGCTCTTGTTACCCAGGCCGGGGTGATCACGAGGTCAAGAGGCCCAAACCATCCTGCTCCACCTGGGTTCACGCAATTCTCCTGCCTCAGCCTCCTGATTAGCTGGGCATGGTGGCGCGTGCCTGTAGTCCCAGCTACTCAGGAGGCTGA